AGTGGATAGAGCATCAGCCTGTGGACTGAAGGGTCCCAAGTTCAATTTCGGTCAGGGGTGCGGGAGGCAGCCCATCAGTGATTCTCTCTCATCATTGATGTTTCTATCTCTCTCTCCCTCTCTCTTCATCTCTGAAATCAATAAAAATATATTAGAAAAAAACGTTTAGAAAGCTGTAACTGCTAGTTACATATCAATCAAGGTAAATAGACATGCTTAATAAAGCAATAAATTTTCTTATTACTTTAGTACCATGACTATAGGTAAACTACGAATTAAAATATAAATTATAAAAAAAATGCAATTTTAAAGCACATACTACAAAAGAACTCTTTCCAACAGTTACTCACACAACCTAAAAGTGAACAGCAAAATCAATGATACAGAGCTGGTTGCAATGGCAAAAGGCTATTCCCTACTCAAATCGTCAGTATTTGAGGGCTTTCAAGATTCCTGGTTAAGTGCCAAATGTCTGTTCAGTAATTTTAATGACAGTCCCAACTTTTACAGCAGTACTAAACATGAAAACACCAAAAATTAAGTTTATTGGGTCTCTCTACATTAGGACGACACAAATTAAAAACCAAATCATAGCCACTATAGTGCTTTCTTCCTGTGATTAAGTTAAACATTAAAGCACTGAAGAGACCAATTCCTTAAAATTTTCTCCACTCCTCGCTTGCAACATTGTAGTCCTCAATTTATACCTCCCCCAAACACTTCCTACCTTGACATTTGTGGATAAATTTAAAAAAAAAAAAAAAACCATTTCCCCCATAACCGTAAAAAGAAATCAAGGAATAGACTAAACTTAAGACCTTCGGGTAGCAATTTCACCCTCTGCACCTAGTTGGCAAGGTTTCCGCCACGTTTGTCTCACCGTCTTACAATTTCATCCTTCAAATGGAAATGAAGAAAAACACCCCGTGCGATGTACACTGAGCCGCGAGTGATCCCAGGTCAGCCTGACGCTCTGCCAGAAAAGGCCAGGTAACGCCTTCTCCTCCGGTGGTAGGCGTCTCTCTCTCTCAGCCCCTGGATAGACCTCCTGGTCAATGCGACCGCAACTCATTTACAAGACTTCGAGACTTGTAAATTACCAGTGACAAGACTTCCCTTCCCAAAGGAATGCCTTCCCTGCCTCCTCCCTACAGACGCCTTTCGGCCGTTTCCTTATTTCCTCGCCCATTTCTCCATCTCAGGGCCACACACCTCTCCCGTCAGAGAAGTTCTCAGAGACGGACAGCCCTGGAGGGGTTTCCTGAACCCCCCAGGCCTTCGCCCCCATCTCCACGCCTGTGCAGTGTTCACACACATCGAAGAGTTAGTTCCCAGAAACAATGAGCGACCGAAGAGGAAGTTCCAGAACAATGCCCCGGCCGCACGCCGCACCAGAGCCCGCGTCGCCTCCCTCGCCCCCGCCGACCGCCCCCACGGCCCCGCTTCACCCCAGGTCTCCACAGCTCCGACAAACGGCCCCCCGGCCCACAATCGGGGACCCCCCCTCGCTCCGCGAACAAGGCGGCAGAAGGAAAAGCGAGCTCCGGTCGGTCGGAGCTGGGATGCTTTTTCTCCCGGGCGGAGGGAGGCCAGCCAAGGGTTGTGTAAAGAACTGAAAGCCGAGGGGGGCGGGGAATTAGGGCGCCAGAGCTAATCCCCCGCCCCGAGGCCCACGAGTGCAAGAGGCGGGAGGCGGCCAGCGCGGAGGACTCGGGGGGCCGGGCTGCACTAGGCGTTCGGGCCGCGGGGATGGGGAAGAGTCTGGTAGCGCCAGCGGCCGGCGGGTGACGGCGCCGGGCAAAGGGAGGAGGCTCCGTGTGGAGCGAATCCGGGGGGCCCGGGAGGAGGAATCGCCTTCCTCACGCCGCCCTAGCCCCCCCAAACTCACACCTCAAACCTGCTCTTGGTCACTCCGTTCACGTCCCTCCTCATGAGGCCGGCGGGTGCGGCCGGGGCCCGGCGCTGCGGCGAGCGGAGTGCAAAGGCGAGGGGCCCCGGGCAGGCCCGGGAGTTCCGGGGCTGGGAGGAGGCGGCGGAGCGGCGGGCGGGGGCCGTCGGCGGGGAGAAAGGACCCTCGACTCCGGCTGGGCCTCCTCCACCTCCCGCGGCGCCGGCGGCGGCGGCGACTTCTCGTCGCTTAGCTCTTCGCTCTCCTCAGCCTCAACTTCAACCCAAAACAAAAACACTCTCCACCTGCCAGCAACGCCGCTCCTCATTGGGCAGCGCCGCCCGGGCCCCGGAGCAGCGTGGGGAGGGGGAGGAGGAGCGCTCGGCGGCGCGGGACCACCCCTCCCCCACTCCCGGCGCAGATCACGGAGGTCAGCCCGGGAGCAGCCGGGGCGTGGGGCGGCGCACGACCGCTCTCGCCTCCCAGGCCGGTGGGCCCCCCCGGAAGCGGGAAGGGTAGGAAAGTGTCTTGTGTGTCGGTGTGTCGTTTCTGTCTGGGAGGGGCTGTGAGGGGGTGCGAGTGCGCGCGTGCTCGCGGGTCCGGGAGAGCGAGGAAAGCAGGACAACTGCCCGCAGCACCGGAGCCCCCCGTTCGCCTCCCCTCCGCGGGCACGGAGCACGCCTCAACCCACCCAGCACTTGAGCTTTCTGTCTGGTTCCTCCCCCGCCCCCTACGTCTGGTCGCTTCTCCCCCAATAGCCTGTGTTGCCACACACGTCCTTCCCGGCCACCCAGCTCCCTTCCCCTATCACTCACTGTCGCCTTGAACCCAAAGTGCAGCAGGCGGTCCCTGCTCGGAGCCATTTTCCTCTTTCTGGTTGTCGCTAGATTGGGACAGTGCTGTTGTTGCTGCCGCCGCTGCCGTAGCTACCGCTGCCGCCGCCGCCCCCGCCCCCGTGGATTGCATTACGGGGTGTTGCAGGGAAGCCTGGAGGGCCGCTGCGGGGCGTGGGTCGCCCTGTGCATGGATCAGAAGGGCAGGGGGATCATTGTGCTGCCCACTGCTCCGGGGATATGCAGCGAGGCCGCACCTCGCACCTTGGGGTCGGGGGGTTCAGTGCTGGAGCGGGGAGACTATTCCTTTAGCTGGGGGAGGGGTGCACTTTGGTGGAAGTGGGGGCAGGCGAGGCGAAAGGGCCTTCGGCTTCCCCCTCCTCTCCGCCACGACCGCCGCTAGCGCCCAATGGGCTCACTGCCTGCCCGTCCTCCAATCAGGGCTCTGGTTGGTGAGAACCTGAGCCTGACGCCACTTTGGCGGGAGAAACAAGCGTGTCTGGCCTGTCTGGCCGAGTAGGCGGGGGCGCTTACAGAAAGGAAACTGACATATATCTGACTCCTCAGGTTGTGTCATCGCGTTATTATGCTTTAGCAACTCCAGTCCTCAAAGTCTGGAAATTCATGATCGAATTTACATGAGTTAAGAGTTTACCCTTAAAACAACGACAAACCACAGAATCATGTCCCAAAGATAAATTAGAAACTATCAAATTTCAGCAGGAATGAGTTTGTCTTCATACCTCGTTTAATTCGCAGTTTTAGTGACCAACTTGTTATGAATCATTACGAGCTGACGAACAAATAGTGCTGGAGAGTTTGTAAAAAAATTGGTATGTTTTAGCTGTAACGCTTATAACCAAACTCTTCAAGCACTTTTATTTTCATTACCCTAGAATGGGCTTCCTAAGCAAGAAACCTCGGCTTCAGAAACTCATTCTTAGGCCCACAAACCCAGATCTAGCTGTTATGTTCTCTCCCCTCACAGGTACTTTTAATGTTATTGCTTCACTTCAGCCAAAAACAAAAGAAAAATACAGCCTTTTAGTTATGGCTCACCTAAGAACAGTTTTCTCCTAGCAAAAACTGATTAATTTGGTAACTAAGGCCTGCAGAAAATAGTAAAACTGGCTCGAGCAGATATATCAAATGAAACTTTCACAGGTCTGTTTCCCTGTTTCAATTATCTTTTCCAATTAACCTAGTTCAAGTTACACTTACTGGAGGAAGACTTTTACTTTTTGATAAAATTTTAATTGACCAAAGTTTTAAAAAGATGAATACATTTGCCGGAAGCCTGTCCATCCTTGCTGCTTGACACAGTCGCTGCAGGAAAGAAACATCTGCACAGCATATGTTTCAAGGGACCTGGCATATATAGCATATTGTTCTTAATATGTTTGCTCTCCTTAGTGCCATGTGTTTTAACCAAGGTCACCTCTCCGAGAAAGGTTGTTTCCCCAGGTGGGGATTTTTCCCTGAGGTTAGGGAGGGGATACAACCCCTTAACTAAGTGCCAGGCGGGTAGTTAATCACTTTAACTACAAACAATCACGCTTAAACTACATAATCTTTACTCCCTGGAATGGAGATAAGAAACGCCCTAACCTTTGCAATAGAAATTGACAGGATTGAAATCAACTGGTAATAAATACAGATGTAACAAGACAATAAACATCAGATCCTGATCAGATCCTAACCAGAACTTGGCTGGAGATCCCGACCAGAACTTTGGCTGGAGATCCTGGCTAGAGGTCCTGACTAGGCTGCTGATCAACTGAAGGCTGTCTCCGTGTCATTCCTTCTTCGCTGACTCCGTCCACACCTTTGGGGACCCCTGGACCTGCTGGGGCTGGACCCCAGCATACATGAACATTATTAAAAGGTTAAAAACTTATTACACATAGGCATATTACTTTTTATCAAAGAAATTTATTTGCATGTAAATAATCAGGTTCTTTTGTAATGTTTTGGGGGGAAAATCCCAGATTTTTATCTTTCAAAAAAATGAAAAACCCCAAAGTATTTACAGAACAGCCATATACACAGAAAATCAAATCAAAGATTTTAGAAAAGACCCTCCCCAGCTGCTCCTGATGTACATTTTTAAAACTCAAAATTTAAAGCCCAGCTTTTACAGCTGAACCTGTTTCCCAACCTAGTTTCTGAGATGTTAAGCACTTCCTATCCCTCAAAAAACTAACTTAAGGGTAGAAATAAAGGAGGAAGAGGGTTGAAAAGAAGGGGGAGGAGGGGGGAGGTAAGACAATGAGATTGCCCAGGGATTGTGGATAATGAGTTTCTTATACTGGCATCTGCTTTAAGTAACTTGACTGAATACTGTATGACTCACAGGCTCCCTGAAAGATTTTGTTTCTGTTTTCTGAGAATTCATGATATTGCTGCACTAAATTTTTAGACGTAGGTCTTAAGAAAAATCTTTCCAAGAGCTACCAACCTCAAGCCTGGTTTTGGCAATTACATCCTGCTTCATCCATCCACCCCCGATACTTATTTTAAAACATACTGATTTTGAACCTGAAATCTTCATGTACATCAGAGCAGGTTTTAACCAAGAACCCCTAACATGAAGCTAAAGACAGAAGAGAAATCAAGTCAAAGAATACATTAAGACACCAGCAGCAGAAAACAGGTAGAAGTTGACTTCATGTCCTTGCCGTCTTTTGAAACAGGAGAATGAGTACACCTAGACAGGAGGGAGGTGTCCCAGGCTTGGATTATTCTGCCTCTTCTCCTCCACCCTGTGGAGAAATGCAGTGCTCCCTGGTTCTCAGGCAGGGTGAAGCAGTTTAGCCCCGGCTCCCTGTTAAGCAAGTTCAGATGCTGGGTCAGTGTGTGGGGTGTGCCCATCGACAATTCAGGGGCTTATCCTTCATCCAGATCCTAACTCGGGATCCTTTGATCTGGGATGAAGACAGAAAGAGAGAAAAAGCTTCCCAGTTTACTCATTTTGGTATTTGTTGGCTCTGCTTGGGGGAGCTGAGCCCCTGATACTATGCAGTACATTCCCCATAAGATCTTCCCCACCCAGAACAAAAATACCATATAACTTTTTTTTTTTTCCTGCAGAAACCAATGGGACAGGATTCAAAACTAGGTGAGAAACTTGTGAGAAATCCAACCTGGTTGTATGTCTGAGAGGCTGCTACTGTATCAGCATCACAAGATAAAGCACTCTGGTATCACCTTGCCCATGTCCTCCTTAGTGTCACCCAAGACATTTGACTGATACGGTAACGGATAACTTTTCTTGCTCCACTTTGCAATGTTTCGTTTCCTACTTCTTATTACCTTGGGACACAAAAGTGGCAGAGTTGTTGAGAGCTGATGACCAGAAAAGGGAGAACACTAGAGGAAATCAGAGACAGTCAGGAAAGAAGCCAAAGCTGATTTTCCAACTCTATGCTAACTCCAACCTGCAGAAAGAGCTGAATATAGAAATCTTCTTCAATATCTGATGAAGTCACTCCATTTATCACACACATACATAAATAAATCACCTGGCTTTTCTTTTTTTAATCCAGAAGAGTTGTGCTGGGGACCATGCCCCGTCCTGCTGATACAGGTCCTGAATGGAATCATCAGGAATGGCACAGTGCAGGTGTCAAAAATCAAAGTAAGGCCGCAGAATTTTGAGAGGACCCTCCAAATACTGAGAACTTGTGTTGCACTCAAATGGTCTCCTGGATTTTTATATTTATGAGAAGGGCTTCTTATTGATGTCCCCCAGAATCCAGACTCAGACCTATTCCTCCAAAAAGGTCCAATTGTGTTGCTACACAGTAGCAAGGGTTTATCTTCATGCCCACCTAGCATTCCAGGCTCCCTTACTTCAAGTGAGCTTGAAATTGTTTTAAGTGAACTATGGCTGCACATTTTTTTTACTGTTTTATCTAAGGGAGCATGAGTGATTCAAGTCTGGACTCCTCCTTGTGAGAAAGGAGCCCAGCTCTCAGGAATGGCATCTGTTCTCCTACAAACAAAATGCTGGGGTGTAGACTTTTGGCACATTGTGGAAATAGGAGAACTATTAATTCTGCAATGGTTTTCATGCCACTGGGTCAGGGAAGCTGTCCCACATTAAACCTTACTGCATCTGAAAACATGTTTATAACCCAAAAAGCCAGCCCAGCTTTTTTTGTAAAGGAGAGGCTATAAATCAATACATCCACAGGGAGGTAACTCCTAATATTCCTATGATGCCTGAATCCCAAGAAAAACCTCCTAAAACAAAAAATACCATTTTGGTTTTTCTCAACTTCAAAGATGGGCTCTAATTTGCTTGGGCTTCATGCTACGGTACCAGCACAAGCTACAAGCTCCCTACAACCAAATAAGCCTTGCTCTTCTCTACCTCCTATCATTTTGAACCCTGAACCTCATAAAATTAGAAAGGAATACTGTATAAAAACAGATAAAGGGTTAAAATATTACAAATAAATAGCTAAAATTACCTTCCCTCCCCCAAATACTCCTAAGAAACAGACACAAAACATTACTTAAGTGTCCAAAGTAACCATAGTCCTTCATTTGCCCATGTCTCTAATGGACAACTACCCAAAGGTGAACACCTTCATGCAAATGCATCAAGGGATGTATTGCTTTTTCACTTTCTGCCCAGCCCTTCACATACATGCACTAAAATTAGGTTTAAAACATGGCCTAAAAATGGAAAAAGGGAGAAAAAATATATATGAATATTTCCCACAAAACTGTTTTCCACCCTTCCCTTTCCCTATGCCCCACCCACCCGCTCCCTTTTATAAGCAAGTATTTTAACTTTTTTTTTCCTGGCAAAGGAACAGTGATTTTTAATAATCAAACCCATGGTCTCTTTTAGTAGGGTCTGGCTATGCTTTTCTAAATTCACCCAGCTCAGTATCAAGGACATTTCATTTAACATTCTGAAACACCACCTGTCCGACTCACCCCGATGGTGGTTTGCCTATAAACTTATTAGTTTCGCTCTGGCCATGTTTTTTGTCTTAAAAGTAAGGTTCCTAATTGCCAATCAGGGCCACATCCATAAGATCATCATCTTCCTCCCCAATCATAAAGTCAGGGCTGAGCCTTGAGGGCCTATCGGTAGATAAGATTGTGTTACTTGTCATCGACAAGGACTGGTCTGAAGAGATGGGTGATTTAGACCAACTCTCTGGCTTGATGCTATGAGATTTTTTCTTGTCTCGGTCTTTGTCCCGATCCCGGTCCCGGTCTTTGTCTTTTACTTTCTTCTTTTCTTTTTTGTGCTTCTTATGCTTCTCTGTGCTGTACTCTGGAAGTAGTCGGATACCATCATCTGAGCAGGGACTGTT